ACAGCCTACTGTTACGTAATCGCTAGGACGCAAGGATCTAGCGTTACGCACCGCTCTAATGTTGCCGTTGTCATTTGTAAAGCGCTCCTCCCAACGCTTTATCGCGCACTTAATAACCAAATAACAATGGGCTGTATCGCCACGGGTCTCTTCTCACTGCGCTCTTAAACACGCGCGAATTGGCCAATATTTTTAAATTAATTACTTATTAAATATTGCAAAAATTGCAAAATGGTAGAGGACTTTTCTACTCGGTTTAACCCGCTCTATCTGCACCCGAGAGGTGATTCAACAATTACCGGACACCCTGTATATATCCATCGGCCACATCGATCGTTTTCGCCAAATGTTAACACGAGTTTGTCGGCTACATCGATTGTATTCGCGAAATATATACGCACTTGTTGTATTTAAAAGGTTAACGCATTGAACTACGTTTATATTATTTAAATGTTTATTTAATTAAATATATTGTTTCTTACGGTAACAAAATTTATTTATTCTAAAACCAGTGTAGTTCATTATATAGAATTATGTAATTTATTATATAACTAACTCATATAACTAAAAATTATAATAATTTTCTACTAGGTATGATATATACAATTGGTCCCAAAATTCTTATTTTCATACCATATTTTCGCGTCTCTCAATGCAATAGATAGTAAAATAAATAAGAGAATTTACTTTTACAGACCAATAATTGCAAATAATTTGAAACACGTGGCATTAATGTTTCACGATTACGAACCATTAATTATTATTCAGATCAATCAATTGTTTTCTAATTAGTAAATTTACAATGCTACTGCATAAGTAATGATGAAATAATTAACATATATCTTTTATATAAAAACAGGTAAAGTATAAAGATGAGCTATTCACTAAAGTCACGCCAGTCGCACAGGCAATCGCGTAAGTTGGGTTTCAGAATCTCACTTAAATATTATGATTAAAAATTAAGAAAAAGAGTGTGTAAATGTAAAAACATAAAATAAAGATCATTTGAAATATCTGCAAATTTGCT